CGGCGGCGCCGGCGGGCGGCGGCCACGGCCGCGGGGGCGGGCGAGGACATGGACGAGTCGTCGTTGCTGGACCTGCTGGAATGCTCCGTGTGCCTGGAGCGCCTGGACACCACGGCCAAGGTGTTGCCCTGCCAGCACACTTTCTGCCGTCGCTGCCTGGAGAGCATCGTGTGCTCGCGCCACGAGCTGCGCTGCCCGGAGTGCCGCATCCTGGTGGGCTGCGGTGTGGACGAACTGCCCGCCAACATCTTGCTGGTGCGCCTGCTGGACGGCATCCGCCAGCGGCCCCGTGCTAGAGCCAGCCACCGCCAGTCTGCGGGACCTGACGACCAGCAGGAGCGCGCCGGTGGCTAAGGTGGGTATCTGTCCCGCCACGTGGCCCCAGTGAGTGTGTGGGAGTGCGTGTGGGTGTCCAGGCATGAGGATCAGAGGGGACCAGAGGTAGACCCTGACCAGCGCGTCACCCTGCCCTTCTTCCTCCAGCGACAGAGTGCAAGTCCTTCAGTTCCCACTCCGCAACTCTTGGGCCTGTCCCTCACCCCATCCGGCTCCGGCTCCGAACTTCCCTGCACCTGCTGTGGTTCCTTCTGTCCACGCCCTCTGTGGTCCCTCTCTCACTCTACACCCGCCAGGTGCCGGCACCCAGCCCCGGGCACCTTCCACCTAATCACACGTGTGTCGGCACCCCATTCTCCCCTGGTGGACCTGGCCCCCTGACCCTGCACATCCCCAGCTCCTCTGTCCTGCTTGCTCCCTGCCTCTGTAACTTTGCACTGCCTTCCCATCCCCCCAGGAGCCCCCTTCATCTCCTAGACTCCAATACTCTCCCTGTGCATACCCTCTGACCCCGGGAGGAAAGCTAGTGCCTCAGTGTCCCTCCGGCTCCACGCTGCCCGAGCCTCATGGCTGCCTGCCGCCCCCTTAGGGAGGAGAGGGCAGAGGGCAGTGTCGGTGGAGTCTGAAAGAGCGCGGGTCAGTCTTCCTTCAAGAGGAGGAGGGGAGTAATCTGGGGGCCGCAGCTTTCCACCCAGCCGTCGTGGTCTGGCTGGGTCTTTGACCCACTCCTGGGCTCCTTGCAGAGGTATATTCCCCGGGGTGGCTGCTTGCTTTTCCCCTGCGTGCCCTGCATTGTACGGCCTTGGCGGCCTCTGTCAGTGGAAGACCTTTCCTGGGGGGCTTCAGTGATTAGATTTCAAAAGCTGCTTATTCCGCGTCGTTACCCACCCTCCGCCACCCTGGGAACTGCTGTTGGGGGAGCGTAGCCCGGGATGGAGGTGTACGTGTGAAACACAGTGCCCGTGTCTTGTAATTCCTTCAAATGGAGAAAAGCACATTTAGCAGTCAGAAACGACACTGATGACCTACCGGGACTGTTTGCGAGAACAGCAACTCACTCTCTACTTTTGGTGGCCGAAGGAGGTGGTGGTGCATGATCTTTCCTTACGTCCCACTCTGAAATGCTGGGAACAGTCTCGAGTCTGACTCAGTAACACAGCATCTAAGGCTGGGGTGTAGGGCCTCGGGTGCTGAGATAGAGGTCGTATTTTGCTAGAATGTTTTTTACCATCCATCAGGAAGAACCGACAGTCAAGGGTATTCAAGACATGGTCACACTTGAGGTCACTGCTGAAGAGGAATTTTTTCCTTTGGTTTGAGTGGTGATTAAATTCAGCTGCATGCTGCCTTAGAGGTTTTCAAAATTTCCTTCCTGTCCTTGCTGTGTTTAATCCAAGGTATTATGATGAAAGGTCTTTATTTGTGAAATAAGCATCTTACCTCCTCCTGCTCCAAGATCATATGTTTTTTGGAAATTGGCTTCTGGTAAAACGCTGGGCATTCTGCTGACGATGCGTTTGTACCAGTGTCCTCCCAGACCGTCTCAGGGGACTCGTGACTGACCAGGAGGTGAGCGGGCAACCTCTGCAGTGGGAAGGACTGCAGCTCCGGGACCCTGTGGCAGTGGGAGCTCTCGTTAGAACTCTCCGAAGGGGTAGAAGCTTGTAACTCTCAGCAGTGACACTCGGTCACAAGGAATTCATGTTCCGTCGACTCGGTGCTGACTCTGTCATGGACTGCACTTCCTGTACTTTGGGATTGCTAGGAACCTGTTTTCTTTCTTTTTGCTGTGTTAAATAAGGGCAACCATCGGGCCTTTTTTCAGAGGCCCACCTCAAAGGGATGGCTTCTACCAAGCGTCTGAATCACTCCCGATCATGTTCAGAGAGGAGGAAGGGGTGGAGGTAGACACTAATGCCATCTAGCATTTGGTCCACTGAGTTCTGGAGTCAGTGGGTGGGCGTCTTCTTGGTCAACCAGCAGTCCCGTATGCTCTCCTCAGTGCTGTACCACTCTGGTAGTCAGGTCCTCAGCAGGGGAGGAATGGGGCGGGAACAAGGAAAGGGTGTGCGTTAAGTAACCTGTAAACTTGGCAGGTGTAGACTTCGGCTAAAACTCACTTCCACATGAGGCCCCATTGGAATTGCTTTGACTCCTCTGCGCAAAGCTGCCTGCTGGACTGTCTGGATGTGGCTGCATATCGTTTAACAGGTGGGCACTCATTTCATTCAGCAAGAACAGTGTATGCCGTCGTAGTAGGTCACCATAAACATGACAGTCGCTCATTGCCTTCCCCTGCAAGCTCTTCAAAGCCGTTTTTGGGCCAACTGGGGTTCGTAAACTTTTCGGGTATGTAGATAAGTAAATATCTGTTTACTTTATTAACTTAGTTACAGCTAGACATTCAGACCATGCCATGTATAAAATATGTTGATTTCTATTTGGTTTATTTGTAATTCATGAGACTCCCCCCAAACAAAACAAAACAAAACAAAACAGAACCTGCAGCTTTTCCATCAGGGTTTTGGTTATCACCTGTTACTTGGCAGCCCCAGACCTGCTTAGGGAGGAGCCTCTCAGCTCCTCTTTCTCCAGAGCCATTTGAGATGAGCTATTTTGGAGTCAGTTGGTGATGCCGCCCCTGGAAATTTTATACCAATTTACAAGTACCACTGCCCAACTTTGCGAACAGTGGACTGATCGTTTCCCGGTTTTATTGCTTCTTAACGTGTTGATGTGTTGCTTCTTAAAGTCGTCTTTAAAGAGCCTTGTTTTCATGGTACTGTCTGACCATCGCATTCGCAAACGTGTGCTAATTTCTCAGCTGAATGTGTTTGTTTCCAGTTTTGTTTTTGTAGCTTTGCAAGGAAACCCCTTTAACACCCCAAACCAGCATTGGCCAAGCTGTTTCAGGGCAGCGTGTCTTGCTAAAAGGGCTTTATGATTCCAAATTGAGTTATTCAAAGAATTACTACTATTTTTTTTGAAAGGTTTTTCACTATAGGGCACGTGCGCTCGCCAGACAGACAGAGAGAGACAGAGAGACAGAAAGTGAGAAATCACCCCCCAGAGAGGATGGCTATGCCGCAGTCCTTTCTCCTCCATTCTCCTCTCGGGATCTTGGGCACGCACGCACACGCGCCCGGCGTGGGTTTTAAGCCACTGGGCCCGGGACGCAAACCGTGGTCGACTACGTGGGAGTCCAGCGACATAGCCATTACGCTAATTGCTGATTCCCTATTATTACTATTTTTGAAATGTTTTATTTATTTATTCCAAGAGCCACACAGACAGGCATGGACAGAGAGACAGTCGCCCCCAGCAGGTCCTCATGCTGGGACCCGCCTCAGCCTCAGCCAGACTGGATCACAGCTACAGCCTGGGGTGTTTTCAGGGAGACCTGGGGGTGCAAACCCAGGACCAGCCACGTGGGTCCCACGTCACAGAGCACTGACTGCACCGCACCACTGGCCAGCCCTCGGCGTTCCACGTCGACCTGTGGGCCCGTGTATTTTAATTTTGCCGGAGGGCATGTGCACTCCCCAGAGACACACAGAGACAGAGACAGGGAGACAGACAGGGGATGTGAGAAAGCACCCACAGCGCCTGGTCACGCATGCTCTCTTCTCTTCCACTTCTCCCTCCTTTCAGGATTTTGGGTGCGCATGCACACATGCCTGGTGTGTTTCTCACGCTGCCAGGTCCGGGGCTCAAACCAGCAGGCAAGCAGCCTTTGGGAGGATTTCCTAAGCAGTCATCTTGGTTCTGAAGGGGCTGCTTTTTCTTTTTGCACTGGAACTTCTTTGGTTACGTCATTGCTTAGTGAAAGTACCAGGGGTCTCCTAAACGTTCTGGAAATGTGAGTATTGTGAAAACCTGCGCGTGAGTTTCAAAACACTTTTGCACCAAAACACACTTGTACCTTATTTATTTATATATGTTAAAGCTTACTTCCTTATTTGGGGGCAGGCTCCCCGTGCCTTCCTGTCGTGTTCCACCCCAGTCTCAGCTGGCCCAGGTCATGGGTGCTTGAAGCAGGGCCTTTCTGTGCAGGTGCAGTCCTATGACGACCGCGTCACCACCCGGCCCCTCACCGGTGCTGTACTTCGGTTTCCCAAGCCCTGTATGTCTCTGACAGCGTGGCTCTATCCTGCGTGACCATGGCTGGGAGTGAGGACAGTGACTCGGGCCAGGCGAGGCCTCCCAGGGCAGGAGCGTGCCAGCACTGTGGGCCGCGGCCTTCTGTGTGGGGCGCCTTGGTTGCCTACGGAGGAAGCAGAGTGTTGGTTAGTCCCTGGCCAGTGAAAGGTGAGCCCAGGTTAGAAGGCTTTGAAGTCTAGAAGCAAATGACTGTTCTTTGGTGGCGCTGACGCCTGAAGTTTCCTATGGAATATTTACGAGTGCCTGCCACCCGCTGGGCGCTTGCATGGCTATTGTGCGGAAGTTCCTAGTAACCCTGCCAGCTGGCAGTCCGTGTTTTAAGCCCAGCGAGATTGATATGTGGGCCAGTCGGAGAGCGAGGAAGCGGTGAGCCAGGCGTGTCTTCCGGGTCACCCCTCTGCCCTTCTCTTTTGCTCAGCTGTATCGCTGGGATGTGGCGTGCTGTGGTTTTGGAGGTAAAATTAGGACTGCCGGGAACCGGCCAGCAGTAGAGGCCTCCCAGCTGGGCAGCTCACAGGCTAGCACACGGGGGGCTGACGGGCAGCGGGGTCGCAGCTAAGTCCTTTGCAGTGTGGAAGCAGCACTTTTGAGACGTACAGCACCTTGGTGCGTGGGCGGCTAACTAGAGTCTCAATTCCCATGATCTCAGTTATGCACGTCACACACATGCACGCTCACGCCAAGTGAGGCCATGCGGGGCCATGTAAGCGTGGTTCATCTGTTCTTCCTACAGTGCACAGAGCTCGCCTGGTACCCGGGCAGGAAATCGAGGCTCCCCGGTCTCCCTGCTGGTGACCCGGCTAGCCGTGCGTTCCCTGTGCGCCTGATTGACTGGCTCTGGTCGGAGAGCCACCTCAC